GAAAAGTTTGCTCCAAACTTCTGGGACGGTTAGAAACATGAACAGTTTCAGAAACCCTATTATCCAATCAGTAGAAGGAGGGGGAAGAAACCCAATTGTTGTCTTAAATAACTTGTGATAAAATGAGGCACCAAAAAAAAGACAAGATTTTCCCAGAGCCTCTCAATCAGAACCATTCCTTGACCCTCCCAGATTCTGGTTTATGGGCCAGGAGGAAGAGATACACACACAGATTTGTTTCAAAAACAAAAGAAAAGGCCATCTTTGCAGGCTGGAAAGAGTCAGGGTATATGAAGTTCAGACAACTAAGTTCGCGAACTCATCCTAGAAAAAGTGCTACGTACCTCATTGCTGAATATCACTATGGTCATCTTCAAAGTACTCCCCTTGGGAAGCTATGCACCAATGCCAGTGCCTAGTCCACCCTTCAAAGCAATTTTGGAACTCTTTTCCTGGAATGGCCATCAGAGCTGTCGTCATATTACCCTTGATGTCCTGAATGTCATCAAAATATCTTCCTTTCAATATTTCCTTTATCTTCAGGTAAAGAAAGAAGTCATTGGGGGCCAGATCAGGTGAGTAGGGAGTGTGTTCCAATACAGTTATTTGTTTACTGGCTAAAAACTCCCTCACAGACAGTGCCATGTGAGCTGGCGCATTGTTGTGATGCAAGAGCCATGAATTGCTGGCGAAAAGTTCAGGTCGTTTTCGTCTAACTTCTTCATGCAGCCTTTTCAGCACTTCCAAATAGTAAACTTGGTTAACTGTTTATCCAGTTGGTACAAATTCATAATGACTAATCCCTGTGATATCACAAAAAGGTTATCCCATCGTTGCAACAAGTTAGCAAACTTAATTGTCAGACCTCATATATGCAAAGTCGTTCTGATATTATTGCCCCTTCTTCCTCCACCATCCACCCTCCTAAGTGGGTGCATCCTTCCTTCCCTCCTGTGATGAATTCCACACTGGCTCAGGATGCATTAACTAAGTCCTGATGTAGTTATGTGGCAGATTTGGCCACTGCAGAAGCTGAGTTTTCCAGAAGTTAAAAAAAGATCAGTGTTTTTCATACCTGCAAATATGGTATGCAACCCAGAGTGACACCACTTAGAGCAGTTACTAAGCAGATGTGACAGGAAGCGCTACAGCAAGAATATAGGTTCATAGGTGCCATTTTGTTGGAGTTACCCTGTCTAGAGCCATTGCCAGGTTGACAGACACTCCGCCTCTGGAAGTGGGTGTACCGTTCACACCTGTACTTGAGAGTTTAACATAACAGCAGGTGCAGTTTTGCTGAGCTAAGTCGATCACATCCAGAAACAGGCCACATGCTATCATAGTGCCCATTGTTTGAGGTCTGCAATGAGCTGGTTCTGGGCTAGGCACTTTACAGCAACCCTGAACATCAGTTTGGCCAGACCCAACCCTTTTCACAGAGGAGAAATTTGAACTCAGAGAAGTTAAGCGATGTGCCCAAAGTCACAGTAAAATACCAGACTCTGGATTTAAAACCAAGCCTGTGTGGTTCTGAGGTCTTTGCTCCTTCCACTGATGAGTGAGGGAGACATAGCTTCAGGTAGAGTTCTGACATTTACTAGGTGTGTGACATGAGCAAGTTCAGCAACCTTGCTGAGCCACTCTTTCCTGATCTATGTCATGGGGATGGCAATGCAACTGACCTGTGAGGCTGGTGTGAGGGCTCAGTGAGGTAATGTGTGTAATGCACTGCGTACAGTGCCTGGCCCAGGGTGGGCACTTGGCCTGCAGTCACCATTCTGAATTCACCAAGTTCCTTCTCTTCTGTAGGCCCTAGGAAGAAAGAACCATATCCACGGGAGACAGCTCTTAGCTTTGCCAGCAGTGTTTCCATCCCAGAAGAGGAAAGCCCTTCCCTCTGAAAGCCACAGGTGCATTTTAATTAAATGGATACCTGGATGGTCCAAGAAATCAAAGCCACTCTTCTCTTGCTGTGTGATTTGAAAACGTCACCTAACCTTTACGCAGTTTTTCCTGTGGAATAACTTGAATAATCCCCACCTCTGAGAGGTGTGCTGGGGCGATAATTAAGTTTTGCTTTCCCGCAGGTGAATTCGCCACAGAGTGGGCTGCTCCCGGTAAGAAGAGGACTCTGGCTGGCTCCTCCAGCAACCCAGCTGGCCTCCTCCCGGACCAGCATCCGTGGCCACCTGTGTACTGTGGAACAGCACGTTAATTTGAAAATATTTTGAAGCCAAGAATCATTAGACAGGTAGAAATTCTGTTTGCATGTATCTGGATACATTAATTGAGTCAAAGGGAAGTTATTTTTGGAGAATCTGCTGATGTGCATTATTCATGCATTGACATGGAGCACTGAGAACTAGCTGATGGGGGTATGCCAACTGCAGCCCAGTAGCGTATGTTATCCAGAAATTCACTGTTTCCCCCATTGGAGTTTTGCCCCAACAAGCACTGGGGAAATCAAATAACCTCTATTTACAATGGCTGCTTGGCGACTGTTTCTGAGGCTACTAGAGTCAAACAGGACTCTTTCAAAAAATGAAACTCCTTTCGGCCTCAGGAAAGCCTTAATCATAGCCCAGTGATGGAGTGAAAGTTATCATCAACATGACCTACAGGCTTCTTCTGTGAATTTCTGACTTGTAACTTTCCATTCAGTCACTCTCTCAAGTGGGAAGGAGAGGCCATCGTTTTGAGCATCAGAGTTGAATTTTGGTGTGAGATGCAGGTAACCAGCCTTTGTGGTGATCTGGGTTTGGTCAGCCTCATAATTCACATCACACATAAAATAACAAAGCAGAAAGGGGGTGCAGGGCTTGTCTGATGCACATTCTTTCTTTTAAAGAGGTACTGGGCTCAGAGGGGTAAAGTGACTTTTTCAAGGCCACCCAGCATTGAATGACAGGTCTAGGACTAGGGCACAGGCTCGATGACCCCTGCAGTGATGCTCTTTTTCCACATCACGCTAGGTCTCTATCACGTGTGGGTAGACATGTTCTTCTATGAAGAACTGTTGGGACGGAAACTCACTTTTCTTAGAACACTATTTCCCCCAAACTGTGCTGGGTGGGTCATCTACATTGGCTCATTGTATTCTCATAGCCCCTCTGCTGAAGAGAGATGACCAGTAAGCCATTTTACACAGTGGAGAGGTTAACTTACTGCTAAGTGTCTCCCTGTCACCTCTTTCCACCTTGGCCTCTCTCACGATTTGAAACACCCTCTGATAGATTCAAATGGGAGGTTTTATTTATTGTTTGTTTGTTGTTTTGTTAGATTCCACATACAAGTGAAATCATGCAGTATTTGTCTCTCTGTCTGACTCATTTCATTTAGCATAATACCCTCTAAGTCCATCCATGTTGTCGCAAATGGTGAGATATTATTCTTTTTTATGGTTGAGTAATTGTATGTTGTATACTTTTTTAAAAAGGATTTTATTGGGGAACAGTGTAGTTTTCCAGGACCCATCAGCTCCAAGTCAAGTAGTTGTCTTCAATCTAGTTGTGGAAGGCACAGCTCCGTTGCCCATGCAGGGATTGAACTGGCAACCTTGGTGTTATGCGCACTGTGCTCTAACCACTTGAGCTAAGCAGTGGCCCCAATAGTACGTTGTATAAATGTACCACTTCTTCTTTATCCAATCATCTATTGATGGGCACTTTTGTTGCTTCCATATCTTGGCTCTTGTAAATAGAGCTGCAGTGAACATAGGGGTGCATTTATCTTTTTAAATTAGAGTTTTGGATTTCTTCAGCTAAATAGCCAGAAGTGGAATTGCTGGGCCATAAGGTAGTTCTATTTTTAATTTTTTGAGGAACCTCCGTACTGTTTTCCATAGTGGCTTCACCAATCTGCAATCTCAGCAACAGTGCACAAATGTTCCCTTTTCTCCACATCCTCGCCAGCACTTGTTTTTTTTTTTCTTTTTCTATTTTTTTTAAATTGATGATAGCTATCAAATGGAGGTTTTAAATGGTAAGGTTTCTTTGGGTGAACGGGTAATGGGGTGGGGAAGTCTGAACACAGCAAATATTTTTTAAAAGGGAACCAATTAAGACTCTTCTGGGAAGTGGAGATTATAGTTTTCCAGGTGGTAGGGTTTGTACTAGGCACTACATACAAGCAGCAGTGGATGCTGCGATCAACGCAGGCACAGGCTCCTGAAAGAAAGGAAACCCAGGGCAGCCCCAAAGACTGTGTATCCTTTGTGGCTGTTCCATGTGAATGACAGGTAATTGGTGCACATTTTTTTATCCTTATTGTTTTTCAGACCATAGAACCTCTTGGTAACATCAAATTCATGCCCTGATGCCCAGCACTTGGAAGCAATCTGTTTTCCCTCTAGGGAGAAATATTGCATGTCAGCATCTTTCATGAAAACTTTCCCAGACATTGAAAACCTCGCAGTGTAGAAATACCTTTAAAACAGGATTGTGTCTTATATTTCACAGACCTTCCTCCTCAGGTGCCGGATCCAGGGCTCTGAATGCAGTAGCTGCTTTTGCACTTGACATTAGAAGAGGAAAGGGGAAGGAAGGTTGGATTTGTGCCTTCCAAGTGTTCAAGAAACCAAATTTTGATAAGGATTTGGTAATATCTATTAAAATGATTCCACTTTTGAGAAACTATCATGGTGGAAATAAAAGCTCCAGTTCATAAGGGTATATGTAAAAGAACATTTATTGCAATATTGCTTTGAGTGACAGGACACTAGAAACAACCTGGAAGCTCATCACTAGGATGCTGGTTTTAAAAAGCATGGTTTATCAGTAAGACATGATACAGCTTTTAAAAATAATAACTTGGGTTTATGTATAGTTACCTGAATAGAAGTCTATAATACACTGTTTAATGAACACAGCAGGATGATGAGTAATGTATGTAATATGATTCCACTTATGCCATAGTGGACACTTATATGTATATATACATTTGCATGAGCAAAAAATGGAGGATACAGAGAAAAATGTTAATATTGCCCTAGAGGTGTACAGTTTTAAATTTAAAAAGAATCTAACAAAGCTTAAATTTAAAAAGAGTAACACCCCTCTGGGAGAGAAGAAAGAGATCAGGGTGGTTAAATGGTCCAGAAAGGAAACAGATGGAATCAAACACGGCTTTGTTTAGCTTCCTCTGCACACTGTGTGTTTTCAGGCAGGGCTACCCCTGAACCACCAGAAATCAGCACTGCACTATGGCGGATCACTTATCATGGCCCAAGTGACATCAGCATGTAATCCACTTGGGTGGTGAGGGGAGAGGCAGCAAAACTTCTTATCTATAAAATTTTGGAGTTGTAGATTCTTGATAAAGAATGTATCCCCAGCCTTACTTGACTGGAGGCTATTTTACATCTGCTCCAGGCCCTATAGCCTGTAAGGACTCTCTGTCCATACCAATAGATACTTTTTACAGGGCCTACCTGACTATAAGCCATTGATTATATAGCTATATTTAACCTATAAGAACCAATCCAGATGATCCCAATATTACCTGAATCCATAACCAACTCTTCCTAGAAGGTATGTCACAAGGGTAGGGATATGACTTTTCATCTTTTAACCCAAAATGCCTCGCACAGTGCTTGGCTCACAGTAGTAGCCCTTATGTAGGCTAATGGAAGAAAATGTATATTGAGTTGTTGCACTGGATAGACTAAATTGATTTCTAGCTGGCTTTGAGGGATTCAGGAGAGGTTTTCCAGAAAAAAAGGTAATCCTTTAATGAAGATTTGAAAAGGAGGAAAGGAGTGAAGTGTACAACCTCCACCAAGAAGAAAAAGCTAATTTCTGTTGTGACAGCATTGAAGAACATGTATTTTAGTGTCTTTAGGGCTCTGCTACTGTATCCCTCTTCCCTCTTCTCCAGAGAAGTTTGGGTTCCATCATCGGTCACTGAGAAAATATCCACATGTTTTTTTGGTCCTTCTCACCCTGAGAAAAAACGTAGGTAATAACAGTCTTAATAGTCAGCTTTTTAAGGGCACAAAACACCATGGATTAAGTTATTATACAGAATTACTAAAAAAAAATGCCTCCCAAATATTGTTAGAATAATCAAACCAAACAGTACCATATCCAGCACAAAACCACAGCAAGTCGATTTAATCATATAGTATCAGAACAAGGAAGAAATAACATTCTGGTTTTGATGACCAAAAAGAGAAAAAAATTACTTGGCAGGCACTGGTGGCACTTTTGCAAGTTCTTTGAACATAGTTTAAGAAATAACTGGGCCTTGGGTTAGTGAGAATTAAGACTGTAAAGCCTCTCGTGCAGGAGAACTGCTCAGATGTGGGGCTCCCTGGAGGCTCAGCCAGGTAGCTGGCTGCTGCAGCCTTGGCCTGACTCCCATCTGGCCTGGAACACATTATGAACACCACTGGGTTAGGTGCCGGGAGGTGGTGATGGATAGTGGCTGTGGCCTGTCTTGAGGAGCCATGGATTCACTGCAGCATGTCTTAGCCATATGTGAGCTCTGGCCACATGTGAAGTTCCCCTAGGAGGAGGAGAGGGAAGCCACATGACATGTCTTATACACCTCCTTTTATTGCAAAGACCATATTTGGACAAGCCAGAGCCTGGCTTTCCTAGACAATATGGTCTACAGAGAAACGGCATCCTGATACCCTGGGCACTGGCTTTTGGGAGGCAGCAAAGGCAGTGTTGGTTGGTTCCTGAAGTTGAGCTACTACATGCAGTCTTCACCTTCTGGAAGGCTTGCAGATGAAAGGAGACAAGTAGTCATAGCGTGGAGCAGGTGGAACCTTGTGCGCCTAGCTCAGCCTTCTAGGGTTTGCAGGAGCAGCTATGCTCAATAATTAGTCTAACTGTACCCTTCTAGTGACAGGAAATTCACTTTCTCTGTGGCCTGTCATAAAGCTGGATAACTTTTCCCCAGGAGTCTCATTCCAACCTTTGCATGATGGCTCAATCATCATCACAACTTCCCTCAAGGACCTTGTGACTTTGAAGAACCTTTGTGTTTAAAATGGACCTTTCTATAATGTGGGTGTCCTTGTAGTTTTGGGGGGCCCTTTCTATAACTCAGGGACCTCCTTTCTCTGCTGGTCTTTTCATCTCCAAATATCCTTATCCCATTGTCAAGCATGAATGCCCATTAGAATCACCCAGGGACCTAAAAAAACAAACAAATAAAATTGTGATGCTCAGGCCTCATTAAATCATACTCTTTGGGGGTGGAACCAAAGCACTGGTATTTTTAAAGCTCCCCAGATGCTTCTGCTCTGCAGCCAAGGTAAGAACCACTGCCTTGTTCCCAGAAACTGGTTAAACTCTTGAAGGTCATGGTATAGAACAAGACATCTTAGATTCAAATCCTGACTTTATGACTTGGGTAATTCTCTGTGTTTTGTGTCTTCATCTGTTATGTAGGGATAATAATACCTACTGAAAATGTTGTTGAAAGAACTGCATACGAACACATTAAGCCTAGGAGTGTCTCTGGCACATAATAAGTGCTCTATAAGTTTGACTCAGAACCTAGGACAGGGCCTAGCTAGCAAATGTGAACACAATGTGCTCTTAGCACAAGCCAGGCATTGTTCTAAGCACTTCACACATACTATTCAATAGCATTTCATTGAAGACCTAGTGTCAGAAAAGTGACATAGCAAAATGTGTTTTCAGGACTTCTTTACTTAGTAGGACCTGTTATCCCACACTGCCCATTTAACTCACATCCCGGTGAATTCCCTTTACCTCTTGTCATCTCATAGTTCTTCTTGCCTCTTATCAAAATCCCTTCCAAAGCTCTTCTACAAAAGTTCTGCACATTTCAAGGCATTCAAGGTGACTACACTAAGGGCTCCTCAATATTCAGTTCCGTACCTTCTGTTGCCTCTTGCTAGCCCTGTGCCTACTGATGAGCTAGGCACAGTAAGAGATGCCCAGTAAGTTCTTTGTAGAATAACTAAATTAATTAACTTTGTAAAAGACTATGCTAATATACTTATGCAAGAAAGTTGAAGAAGACTGAATTCCTGTGAACGGTGTGGATGGTGAGAAAATAATACCACAAAATGCCTACTATATGCTAGGCATTTTTCATGCACCACATATTTTCAAAACCCTGGGAGATGAGTAGTCAGGTAATCTTTTTCTGTGTAACAACAAATCACCCTAAAACTTAGTGTCTTAAGGTAACCATTATTTTTGCTTGTGAATTTATAATTAAATGAGAGCATAGCAGGGACAACTACTCTCTGTCCCAAAGTGGCTCACCAGAGGATTGGAGTCCCCACTTCCCAGACAGCTCACGCCTGTCCTCCAGCCATTAGAGAACAACGCGGTGACCTAGGCTCCTCGGTCACAGCCCCAGGCTGGCTCCCAGTTGAATGGGTTGGAACAGAACACTCTTTCTATGAGAATACAGCTCTCCATCCCAACCTCTCCAACTCCCCATTCCAAGGGAAGCCATCAGTGTCTGTGCTTGGGGATAAGCCAAGCTGAGCAAAAGATTTCAACAGAGAACTGAGGAAACACACCCACTGAGGTTCCATAGCAACATAATCACGCTCAGGCAGCAGCCTATTTCGGTGGGAGCTTGTTTCAGCTCCCCTCCTCCCTGGTTAGTCACAGAATGGATGCCCCGCTCAGGGGGAAGTGGTGTGGGGTGGGGTCAGAGGAGAGCGTTGGACTGAAAGTCAGGGGGCTAGCCGAAGCATCACAGACAAATGCCCTCCTATCTCTGATCTCAGAGTCTTTATTTGTAAAAGGAGAGGATTGGACTAAAGAGCTGTGAGGATACTTTCCTTTTTGATTTTCTTTGATGTACAAGTACTGAGACTTTCTTGGTAGGGGAGCAGATGTGTCAGGTCTTTTGTCTCCGAGAAAGATGCTTAGAGAAAACAGAGTTCAAGAGGGTAAAGTCATTCTTTAGATTCACCTCATTTATCCCCCTACCACTTTCTGTATGTTGGTAGGATGTGAAAGGGAAGAAGGACCAGGCATTGCCAAAGACTGCTCACTCACCCTCGACACTGATCCAGGTCTGTGGTCTGAGAAAGAAGAAGGTTAAGGAGGTTAAGGCCATTCTCTCATTTCAATTTGCTCCTTCTTACACACACACACACACACACACACACACACACACACACACACACTCCCATTAACTCCAGTCTGTTGCCCTTTCTCTTTTCACTCTTCCTACTCTCCATACCCTTCTCTCCTCTCCCTCCTCCACTTACTGCAATGTGTCCTCTTTCCCCTAGGACCAGCTGATGGAGGCATCCTCAGATTCTGGCTCCGTTCTTCTATGGGCTCTGGGGTTGGTTGAGGACAATCAGGTTCACACTTCCTGCTCTCAAAGGTGATGGTGAAAAAACAAATACAGCATGCATGCAGGATTGATCTATGCAGGTAAGTACAGGGACGAAGTGAAGAGAGCCTGAAGGCTCAGGGAGCATCTTGTAGGTCCCTGTCCTTGACTTGCGGGCTGAGAGCTTGAAAGTGCATCTGTCTTTGAAGGAGTTGGCTTGAGTGGCCTGTTGTAATGGGAGAGACAGAATGGGGCTCCCCCTCCTCCTTGTTCTATCACCCACCAGCTTGACAGATGGCCAGTAAGAAGGGGGTGTGTGTGTAAAAGCTCTCCAAGTGAAGACAGGAATGCATTGTATAAAAATTCACACCCCCTGCTGCCGCCCAAACTCTCTCTTAAAAAAGGATCAAGAAAATCCTAATGGGTACGTGACATCCTCCCTCTCTCCATAAAAGGGACTTCAAAATCTGGTGACGATGGGGGAGGAGTGAGGAGGGAGAAATGTGTCTGCAGGGGGTTGCCAGGGAAAACTAGGGTAGGGGGAATACGACCGCAGGCTCATCCATTTGACTTTCTTCCACCCTTGTTCCCAAGCCACCCCTGGCTGAACCTTCGCCCCATCCTCAGCCTGAGAGAGGCTCGGAGCCCCAAGTGCCGTCGATAGGGAGTGTGTGAGGCAAGGAGAGATCATGATACCACACTTGGTCCAAGGGTTAAAGGAGTTAAGGACCCTCCCTCATCCAGACACCTACCCCTTCACTCCCCAAACTCCAAACCTTAATTCACCAAGGAAGGATCCAGGAATTAGCAGAGGAGCGGAAGAGTTGGGGTAGGGTGGGGGAGAGGTAACGGTGGCCCAGTCTTGCCCAGAGCTTGTCCTCGGTGGGAGGGCGCACACTCGGGTCTAAGAACCTACAAGAGCCCAGCTCCGGAGCCTGCTTTCTCGGAGCCTCCCTCGTGGCCCTACAGCGTCCGCGCAGCCCTTGCCCCCGTGCAAGTCGTCCGCAGCGCCGGGGAGTGGAGGCGGCCAAGAGACCCTTGCAGCCGGGTGGAGGGGGCGGGCCCGGGGGCGGTGGGGGCCCTCGGTCTGCGCCCAGCCGCCGCCTGTTTTACCGACTCTCCTACCCCGCCCCCACTCACCCGGCTCAGCCCCTAGGAGAGACGTGCAGGAAGCGTGTTGCTTCGCCCAGCGGATCCGCAGAAGTTGAGAGGAGTTGGTGGCTGCCTCCGGCCCGCCGGACTTTGCGAGCAGCGGGGAGAGAGCAGCCGCCGCCGCCGCGGAGCCTTCAAGGGCTGCCTCTTCCTGCTCAGCCCGCGGCGCGTGTGTGGAGAGGGGCGGGAGGGGTCGGGTGCGCGAGAAGAACTTGAAACTGTGTGAAGGAATCCGAAGCAGATGAGAAGGGAGGAAAATAAAACAAAGTGGAGACTGCAGGAAAGACTCAGCCGGGCTTGATTGTATCTGCTGACGCTCCAGCAGAGGGGCTGGGTTGGGTTTTTTTTTTTCCCCTCCCATTCTCTTTCTCTCTCTCTCTTTTAAAGCTACACCAGCTCTCTCTTTCTCTACTATCTCTGTACCACCAAACCCTTGCTGGCTCTTATGGGCATGAAACACTCCTCCCGCTGCCTGCTCCTAAGGAGGAAAATGGCGGAGAACGCTGCTGAGAACACCGAGGTAAGGAAGCGAGAGGGCTGGGGCTCTCGGCCACCCCGGCAGCCCACCCGACCACCGCGCCGCCGCCGCTGTCGCTGCCGCCGCCGCCGCCGCTCAGCACCTAGTGCCAAACTTTCCCCCGCTCCATTCCGCTTGCTTCCGCCGGCCGTGTGTGTGTGTGTGTGTGTGTGTGTGTGTGTGTGTGTGTGTGTGTGTGTTGGGGTGGGGGAAAGAAAGACAGTGCATGTCTCAGGTCCCCTCCCTCTTGAAAAGGCAAAAAGAGTCTCTCTCACCCCATCTCCCTCTCCTGCCACCCGCTGCTCCCTTCTCTTTTCCCCAAGTCCCAAACCCTGGGCAGCTGCGCTCCCATGCCCTGTCCTCTGGGCTCCGTCAGGGCTCCAGAGTTCCGGCTTTGTGCAGAGCTGGGATGGGTGATCCTGGGTCCAGGGCTGCTCCCTGCAGTCCCTTGACTATCTACAGCCGCGGCCCCAGATTTACCCTTCAAGCTGGAGTCCCTAGCTCTCGGTCTCCGCAGCACCGCGGAGAGCTCCTGGCCGCGGAGGTGGGATGGGGAGGGGGATCGAGCTAAGCCGGCAGTGGGACTTGGGTACCACCAACAGACCCTCCCGCTCAGATCCGGGGCGGGGAGAGGTCTGCAGTCCTCTAATGATAGAACTGCCTCCGGGACGCTAAACCCGGGGAGAGAGCGCTGGATGCGGCCACCTTCAGAACCAGGGACAGCGTCCGCTCCTGCGGCAGCCGAGCCCGTGCGGGCGGTGGGGGCTGCGCGCCGCGGGCTGCAGCGACAAATGGGTCTGCAGCCACTCGTCCAGCAGCAGGTTTTGAATGTCGCTCTGGCCCCGCAAATTGCGCTCCTGCCCCCACCCCACCCCCGCGCCTTCGGCAGCCCAATAGCTGCCCTTTCTCTACTCTCGAGTTGGCCCTGAGCCGCAAAGAGTACTGCTGGGTTTTGGGTCCAACACTGAAGGCTGTGTTCTCTGGCCTGGCACTGACCCTGCTGTCATTGCAACTGGACTAGTCCGTAGGTTCTGGACACCTGTAGTTATGAAGGGGATCAGCGTGGGCAGTCCCCTTACCTTCCTGGAGAAACGGTGAGCCGAGGTGGGGGCGGAGTGTTAAGTGTGTGAAGATCATCCCTTACTCTGTGGCAGGAGAAAAGCAGAGAGCAAACTCCTGGGCTCTATTAATAGCCAGGTGTCTGGTGGGGCTGCCGTACATTTCCCATATGGTTACCCATATGCATCGTGGGGCAAGGATGGAGGTGTGGCGCGGGAATTGTCCCTCTGTCTTGCTGGAACGCAAAAAGGTGCTGAGACCCTTTGAGATCTTCTTCCCTCGAGGTTTGAACTGCAGCTAACCCCTACCCCATAGCGTAGGCAGCAAAGCTTTAAAAAACTCCATTCTCTGAGAGGCTAGAAGCAACATGCATCTGGCAACTGTCGATTTCCAAACAAACAGGCACTGGGCTTGAAAACAGCCGGGTATTCAGTAGCTAATGCCGTCTCTTTGAGTTAGGGCAAAGCCAGCGTACGCTCCCCTGGACACTTGCTCTGCCCCACCCTCCACCGGAGAGCAGGCACTCAGAACGATGTGCAGTGCAAGGCGCCTAGCCTCACAGCGGAGAGCTAGCCTTCCCAACCCCCTCGCCCTCCTCCCTCTGATCGCCCACCAGCGGAAGCGGTTTCTAAAAATAGATCGAAGTCAAGGCTGCACTTCTGTAAGTGTTGGACTAGCGGGTAAGTAGCAGTCCCTGCAGCCAGGTGGCTGGAGCGCTGGAAGCAAGAAACAGCTTCTCCCTCCGCAGCCCCCACCCCACCGCTCGGTTTCTTAAAAAAAAAAAAAAAGTTTTCTCAGGTCTCTAGCCCCCGCATCCCGGCTGTTGCACGGGATCTGGGTGCAGACCCCTGCGGGGTTCCGCGGTGTGCAGCAGCCGCTGCTAAGCTCCCCACCTCGGCCAGGGTTAAAGGCGTCCAGCAGGCCGAGCGAAGAGCGCCAGGCTATTTTTACTTGCTTCCCCCGCGGCTGCGCGCTCCCCCTTCTCAGCAGTTGCACATGCCAGCTCGGCTCAAGGCATCAATGAAAACAGCAGTAGAGGCGCTGAGCTCCTGCGAGCAAAAAAAAAAAAAGAAGGAAAAAAAACCACGTCACCCACAGCGGCGTTGGGTGGGGTAGACCGAGAAGGGCAGACCCAGTGGAGTGAGTCTGGGGGTTCAGTTCTTAGCAACGTCCCTGAGAAGGGGAGGAATTCAGACTTGTTCACATGTGCCCAATGGAGGCATTTAAGCAGCGTGACAATCACTTGGTTTTTCTCCAGGAACTGGCTGTTTTTGGAGTAAGCCAGAACTAGAGCAGTACTTCCAAAAGTGAGGAATTGTGGGTTTGCTTCTATGGATGGTGGGAGAGAGAGGCAAGAACGCTTCTGTGTGTGTGTGTGTGTGTGTGTGTGCATGCTAATGGCGGTAGTAGTCCTAGTTCTTAATTGAACATGTCTTTATCAAACACTGACTCTACCAGGAATAATTAGGTACCCCCCCAACCAAAGATGAAGACAACCAGGGCCTGCTCTCCAGGGACTCACAGTCTGGTGGTGCCTGATAATCCGAATAATCCTATGGCACCTTTTCTTGCCTTTTGTTGGTATTGTTTGCAAGCACTTGTATATCCTTTAATCCTCACAATAGTCCTGTGAGATAAGCACATTTTTTATCCCCATTCTATAGGTGAGGACACTGAGGCTCAGAAGCCCAGCCATTTCTGAAAATCACCTGGTCAGCTAAACCAGCCTTTGCCCTACATTTGTAATTTTAAAAAGATGCCATGTGTGGATGAGAGTAAATGAGGAGTGGGGAAGAGAGGATTACTTTGGAAGAGAGATGAAATGTTGGGGGTAAGCAAGGATGATGGGAAGAAGGTGCTCTTGCACAAGGTAAAGATGGGGAAAGATATTCTAATCCTTAGGCAGGGAGAACATGAAGAATAAGACTGCTTATATTGTGAGCTGAACCTCTCTCAACATGTAAAGTCCGGAGCTGGGGCAGTGGGGACGTCGAGGGCACAGGCTTGGTGGGCATGGTTGGCACTGGGTGGCCCTGAGTCCACTCTTTAACCACTTTCACCTCAGTTCCTTTATGTGTCAACTTGAGCTGATTCCCCTTATGGTTTAGAGTAGGCGTGGGATGTAAGGAAATGCAGGGATAGCCCCCCTCTCCCACACAAGGTAAATACATAGCAATGGTAGTAATGCTAGTTCCATTTCTGCTTTCTCAGGCTCCCTCAGATGGGCCTCTGCTCCTCAAAGCCTTCAGTCCCGCCCTCCTTTTCCATCCACTCTAAGTGCCTGAGGCAGGTCATCCTCACCTCTGCCCTCACTAGGGCCTCTCACTGTTGGTCCTCTTCCCTAATCCAGCCTCATTCTCACAGCTCAATGGGCTTTGAGAGGCAGACATCTGCTCAATGTCATCTCTTTGAAAGTTTACCATGTTGCCCTATTGCGTATGGAATATAGGATAGAGCCCAGTTTCTATAGCAAAGTGTGCAAGGCCCTTTAATACCCACCCCATGCAATTCTCTGTATGGACCACTGACTTCATGCCTGGGCTGCTCTTTCCCCCTTCTTCTCTCTGGAAAAAAAAAAAAAGATTCCTCAGCCCGCAACACCCAACTCAAAGGTCAGTCCCTCTGGGCAGCCTTCCCAGATCTGTCATTTATCCTCCACTAACATGTAGAGTGAGTGAGTGTTCCTTCTCCTTTTTATGTGTTCTTAAAAACCCATCTCTCACTTTTTCTATTAAAGATAATTGGCTTTTTGTATGTCTTATTTCTCCAGTTAGATAACCAATTTTTTTGTTCTTAACACTGTGCCTGACACACAGTAAAAAATGAATGTTAATAGCTGTTGACTGAATTGATTCATGTAATTATGAACAAGCTCATGAGCCTCCTGGGTTTCAGCCACTCATGGCCTTCTGAAAATTGGGCTTCCTATCTCCCACCCCTCTGCTACACTTATGTGACTGTGGACCTTTAAAACCCAAAGTGAGTAAAGGTGGTGGGAATCCAGGTGCTGTAGCAACTCAATGCATGGGTGCATTTTGGTTATTCATGTACCTATTCCATACTCAGTAATTACTGACTCCTTCCAGGTGGTATTCTTCTGAATGGAAGATAAAAGGACTAATCACAGTGCCTAATTAGGAACCCTGGGGGATAATGGACCCTTGTGAGCTGCTGCCTGCTTTACTGATTCTTGGAGAGAGCCTGATGCATTATTGATGGTGGTGACTCCCTGATTGGGTTTTAGCATCTCAAAGGAGAGCCCTCAGGGGTGAGAAAACAGTTTTAGCAGAGGAGTCATTTTGGAGACTGTTTTTTTTTTTTTTAAATGTTCTATTGCCTTATTGACCCAGGGAGAGAGAATGGTTATGGGTTGGGAAAATCCTACAATAGGACAGCGGGATTAGGGCTGAGCGTTGCTCTAGGCGTTATGAGGAGGACTGAGCTGACTTCTGACCTGGTGTGTGTTGGTGGTTCTAGCAAATGGTTGCCTCTCTTCAGGAAGTTCCTTTCAGCTAACAGGTCAGGGAATTGAGGAGGCAGAGGACAGCAGGAGGCAGGACTCAGTCCTACTCCTCTGAGAACCGCCTGCACCCATGGGGCTAGCTAACCATGCAGGCTCTGGGACCAGCCTGCCTGGTTTAAAATCCAGCTCTGAATTTAGTAGATGTGTTGTTATGTTAAACATAACCTAAAGTTTCTGAGCCTCATAAAGTTGCTGTGAGGATTAAATGAATTAATTCAGGCAAAGGGTTTAGGACATGGTGAGTGCTCAATAGTGTTGATGATGATTATTCTCTTAGCTTTTGGGAGTCTCGCCGAAAAACAGCTGACGGGATGAACTCTTCCACTTCCTCGCTTCTCTGCTGGAATAACCCATAAACCATAGTCCACATGCATTTCTCCTCCCTCAGCAAACACTGATTTCAGTCCCTAAGTGAGCTCAG